CTGTTGGGGGGAATACGAAGGGACAATTCGAATGCAAAAGCACACTTTGGATATAAGCATAGTTGGCCTTGTTCCCCAGGGGTGTGCTTAGCTTCTGCTTTATCTGTGCCAGTCATCCCAAATATATATTCTTTCTTCAAAATGCAATATTCGCCACAATATACGGCGTATACTGAGTACAAATTGACTCGTTTGTCGAACGCTAGTAAAAGCGACGATGTGAGAATAGGCTGCTGTTAATAGTCATATCAAAGCCCCCAATGCGCCCCTATCGAAATGCAGGTCCCACGCGGTGCAGTACTACGTGCAGGGGCGGAATCAGGAGAGGCTTGCCGAGTGCTACTACATGCTGGAGGACTATGACGGGTTGGAGAGGCTGGCTACGTCCCTCCCTGAGAATCACAAGCTGCTGACGGTACCGGCATGAAAAACAACTACGTTGCTCACTTTAGTTTATTACTTAGCCAGGGAAAACCTGCTGAGATGTGGCATGTCCTTATGCAGATAAATGTAGAAGGGAGAAGTCATTGGACTACTCCAAACATTATTTTGGTAAAATTTTCCAAAGCAGGGCCCTCATTAAAAGAGTCTTGACACGTAGGTTTTTTCTTTCCTCTGTAAATAATGATTAATTGATATTTACTGGTGGCTAAATCCAGGTGTGGTAGTGCATACCTGTAATGCAGCACTTTGGAGCCCAAGGGTGGTGGGTCATGCGTATTGGTAAGACTGACAACCCTCTGAGCTGTGAGTTGGTCTGGAGATGGCAGTACAGAAATGTGGGTTAATCCCTCCTAATGCATGGACTTTCTCTCGACATCCTCCCATATTCAAAATACTCATTAAAAGGTTTATTGGTCATATATTTCAAAGCCTGATCCTCCTGAAAGAGCGTTAAAACGTAGTGATGTTTTTCTGGACAATGACATTGTTAGAAATGTAAACATTTCTTTTGACACAACACACAGTGGCCTACTCGTTTTAACAGGTGAAATTAAAATGAGTCATCCATTTGCAGCAGAATTAACTCCTGAGTGCAAACCATCTGGTTGGTGAATCTACTGACCACTTTGCCGTTCTAATTCATGGCGTGTGTCTTGTGCCCGTGTGGTCGCAGAACGTCGCACACATGTTTGTGACGGTGGGAATGTGCGAGCAGGCCGTGGCAGCCTACCTGAAGTGCAACCAGCCCAAGATGGCCGTTGACACGTGTGTGCAACTCAACCAGGTGAAATCATCCCACCTTGTCACATGGTTCTATTTGCCGAAAATATTGTAATCCAGCGCTTTGGAGCTTAGGGTTAGTAGATCATACACTTTTGTTATACTGCCAAATCTGCTGGGCTGTGAGGTGTCCACGAGATTGTAAGAAATACATTTTTCATGGACATATCTTTGTATATGTTGATTGTGTGTGTGGACCTTTGAGATTGCCTTTTTTGAAGATCTTTGATTGTATGCACGAGATTTTCTCGGCCTCCTTCGGTTTACTTACACATGCCAAATATTCCTTAAAAATATCATTACTAAACCTCCCGAGACAGGACTTCGTGAAAAAGTGTTTAGAGACTCCATGACACCTATGTGGACAAATACGTTACATTATTTACTCCTTAAGATTGAAAGTGGTATTTACAATTTTACTTTTGTACCATTTGCCATCACTGCCCCCCCCCCTGCCCCACCCACAGTGGAACCAGGCGGTGGATCTGGCTCAAACACACAACATGAAGGAAATTGGCTCTCTCTTGGCCAAGTACGCGGGCCATCTGCTGGAAACGGGCAAGCGTCTGGATGCCGTAGAACTCTACCGCAAAGCCAATCGCTTCCTGGACGCTGCCAAACTCATGTTCCAGGCAAGGTTGCACATCTTCAGCCTTTACACCATTGGAACCTCATTTGCCAGTAAAAAATATAATAATTGTTTTTTTTACCCTTCTATCTGGCAACAAAACTGACACCTTTTTTACAAGGAGTCATGTTTGCATAGACCGCTATACCTGCAACCATACTCCATTGTTTTACTCTACTATGCTCTAACATCTATGTTCCATACCTTTACCAACCCACACTGATCAGCGTGGCGATGTACGGTCAAATAACCCCTGATGACCCATGGGGTGTGTGGGGAGGCCATCATCTAGAACAGTGGATTGAAAAAAGTACTGTACATGTACAGCTTACTCAATGAGATTACAGTCATGCTACATGTAGTTGCATGTATGTTGAACTTCTTTTGCACCGTACGTAGTCAACCGTGCTTATCAGAGGTGCGGTGCGATATTTGAGGTGGTCAGGCAGTACAGCAATCTAGATTGGAGCTTCCAGTATTGCCACCTCATATTAGTGCGAGGTTTCTCTCCAGGGACTACAGTTTGCTTCCACTTGAAGGCATACATTAATGGAATTTGCTTAACATCCTAATGCTGGACCCTCCCGAATAATGGTGTTGAGGCTCCGTGAGATGATTAACAAAGGGTGTTATTTGCTACAGGTCGCAGATGAGGAGGCAAAGAAACGCACAAAGCCCCTGCGCGTGAAGAAGCTGTACGTGCTGGCCGCACTGCTCGTAGAAAACTACCACGAGCAGGTAAAGAACGGGCAGAGGGAGAAGGTCAAGGGCAAGCGTGTGGAGGTGAGTGAGGGCAGCATGTGCCATTAAAAGCCCCTACCTGAATGTCAAACCTTCACGCTTAAGATTGTTAATTTGTCTTGCTTCACGTAGTAAGTTTGATCCTTACCTGTGTATCGATAGTTCAATTTTCATGAGTGTTATCTTGGTGTGGTCTGGGACTGATTTGTTATTGCTTTTGCTGCCTAGCTTGATAAATTTGACTTACATAATGAAAGTATTTAATATGCATTTATATTTAGTAACTTGTTTACCATTTTCTCAATTTTTCACTCCTATCGTTTTTGTATTGTTGTTGTAACTTGCTGATCCACCCATACTGTATACATCTGTGAAAAGAGCTCCATAGCTCATCGGATTCCTCCAGTCTTCATAAAGATTGTGATTCTGAACTGAGATTATATGTTTTCTCTCCCAATTCTAAGAATGCTTATGGTATTGTCATGAGATGGAGAAATCTACATTCAGAACTCTCCCAGAAAGCAGTAATATCAACCCACATTCGAGCCTCTGGAAACCGATATCCCCCAACTACTTCTGATTGTAACTTTAATTTCCTCGTATAATAAGCAGGGTTACTCCGCCTTCTCACATGCCCTGCTATAGAGATGTTTGCCACATGTCAACGAACAGAAGAACATATTATCTTCAAAACTAGAAGTATGTTGAATTGCGTGAAAAACTGAATTTAAGCCAATGGGGTTTATTTTGTCGGCATTAGTGACCAAGCTGAAACCATCAAGTTGGTTACAATGGAGAACCTGGTTTAATCACTTGCTCAGTGCTCTGACAAGGGTGTTTGCCACCTGATCCACCGAGCCACCTCAGCCGAGACGCCTTTTAATATTGCGCGTTTAATTTTATTGGCAGGCATCTTCGGCTTTGGCCGGGCTACTGGAAGAGGACGCGGCGCTAGATGACAGTCGGCTGATTGATGGGGCATGGCGGGGCGCCGAGGCCTACCACTTCTACCTGCTGGCGCAGCGACAGCTGTGCTCCGGGCAGGCCGAGAGCGCTACCCGCACCGGTACACGCGCGTGGGGCAAGCGGTGGGCACAGCGGTGGGCACAGTGGTGGGCACCCGTCGGGGCTCATTGCGTTGGACACAAGAATAGCGGCGATCACTCGGTCATTCTTTTGACAAAAGAAATAAATTTAGTGCAACCGTCGCGACCAACACGTTTAATATAGGAAGAAGTTGGGAGCTTCTTTGGCAATTGAATAGTTTAAATTCGGCATACAGTACAATATGTACTACAACCCTCAACATATCAGAGAGCTATACAGCGCAACTGAAAAAAACTACGAAGTAGTTCATAAACCACCTCGTCGTGATCATATTGCAAGACAGTACAGCATATATTTCACCAACGAACTCCTAAAGCCCACCTGCAAATGTTTTAAATTTTATAAATTTCCACGTCTCCAGTACGTTTTGGTTGTTGCTAAAATTGGTGGTTTTATGTCCTGAAAACGGTTTAGAAAGTTGATAAAACAAAGTAGAAATTAAAGTTTCTTTATTGAAGTGTCCCGCTTGAAACCAAAATCAACTTTACCATCTTCAACAGCCACGATCTATTCACTGCTAGATGATGGTCTCTCTCCCTCATAGTCTTGCAATGCCAGAATCCATCTCGCCCCGACACATGAGCCAATCTCATCGATTCAACTTCACGTGTAGACATCCTCTGGCTCGTGTTCCCTCCTTTGGCTGCCATTCCATAGTCGGTCTCACCCGATGGCCATGATCCCTTCTAGCAATTTCTCCTGCTCTTAGCTCACTTGGGCAGGATGATTAATGTATTAAGTTGCTTAATGAAAAAAAAATGCGTGGTCGGTTAATCGGGCCCCTTTAAAAAATTGAAAGCTCCCCCAGTCTGCCTCACGAAGGCATAAACTCCCGAAAAACTGTGCCCAATGTGATGTGGATGATTCTATTGATGTCACCAAGCCGTGCCCCATCACTTCCCATCCAGCAGCACGCATGGAAACAGTGGTGGAAACCACTGGAAGCGATGAGCCCAACTATTTTCTTTGTGTTATCCAATTGTATAATCAGTCGAGCAATCAATGACTCATGTTATTGGATGCCTCAGCTCTCGTACGATGAATGTCTCTGACAATCCATTATTCCTCCGCCCCTCTGGCAGCACTGTTACTGTGCGACTACGAGGACGTCCTGCCACCGAGCGACGCCTACTCGCTGCTGGCGCTGTGCGCCGTCGCGAGCCGTTCGTTCGCCACGTGCTCGCGCGCCTTTCTCCGCCTCGAGGCCCTGGAGGGATTCTCAGAGGAGCAGCTGCGGCCGTACCGCGAGCTAGCAGTGGAGATCTTCACGAGGCACGCGCCCAAGGACCCGCCGGCACGCGGCCAGTCTGACCCCAGTGCTGCCGCGGTATCACTCGAACTGTAAGGCATTTGCGCGTGCACGCAAGCACCCTGTTCGCACCATCCACCTGGTAGTTTTGTTCGTCCATCATTGTCAAGAGACCCCCATCATAGACAGGCGCTGGAAAGCATCCCACACTGCACACAGGCCACCTTTTTACATACTGGCTGGCGATTGTCATCTACTGCATTCGTTTTGTTGAATAGGTATGTAACAGTGCATCAAGTAATCGATGACAACCAGTTCTCAAACTGGTTTCTGAAGATTCATGTATCTGTAAGAAATTACAAAGTTAGACATTAGAGGTGATACTATGCAGACTTAGGCGTGTTAAACAGACGCTGCTGGATATTGGTCGGGAAAGCCAATAGTCCGATGACTAAAAAAATATTTCATTTGTATGTGGAAACAGAACAGAGGTCTGTTTATAAATGTTAAAAGCCATGGTGCTCCACAATAACCCCAAACGATGTTGTGTACTTATTATATTGTGTTGCGACTCTTCCTGAATCCACAGAGGCGAGGATAAGCTGCCCTTGTGCGTGGCTACGGGACGGCGCATCTTCGACTTCCAGTTCTGGATGTGCGGCGTGTGCAAGCACTGCGCCGCCGAACGAGACATTGCGGCGCGCGCCGTCTGCCCACTCTGCCACAGCCCCGTCGCCTGACCACCCTCCAGCTCACAGTATTACATCCAGTACTTGATAATTGGTTTTTTACCCTTCATTTGCCAGTAAAAAATATGAGAAATGTTTTTTTACCCTTCTATCTGGCAATAAAACTGACACCTTTTTTACAAGGAGTCATGTTTGCATAGACCACAATACCTGCAGTCATAATGCAATACATTATCAGAGTTATGTTTTTTGTTTGCATTATGACTGCAGGTATTGTGGTCTATGCAAACATGACTCCTTGTAAAAAAGGTGTCAGTTTTGTTGCCAGATAGAAGGGTAAAAAAACAATTATCATATTTTTTACTGGCAAATGAGGTTCCAATGGTGTAAACATCCAGTACTTGTCAAGCCTACTAAGTTAAGTGGTAGGCCGCCGATGTTTAAACCCTTTGAAGGCATTCCAATTTTCGAAGCTAACATTGTATGCAGAAAAAAAAGTTAGGTAAAATTTTTTTTTTAGAATGTGTTACGATTACCTTTGCAAATAGCTATGCAGCAAGAGAGTTCAAAAATCGGTAGCCTACCACTTAAATCGATAATGTTGGAAAGTACACAGTAATGACACCAGAGCTTCATGACTGACTCTCAGGATCCACAGAAACTCACAGAAGCACTTAACACTTGACTCTCATTCAGTGACAATTCTGTATGGGTTTGCAAAATCTGAATGCCCTTTGTATGGAAGGTGGAAGAGCATTCTGAAGTGTGTCTCGTGTTTTTGTGACTATTGCGCATTTGGCGATTGCTGCAGTGTACAGTTATATTTTCATACAGCCACTGTTTGTTTTCTTGTAGTCTAAAGGCAAATTGTCTCATGCTTGAAAAATGTGCAGATTTATAGACATGTATTTTAAAAAGTGTACATAATGATATTTTCTCTTTTTAAATAATTAATATCTTTATTGTGCTGTCTTGTATTCACTTACAATAAAAATGTAAAAGCCGTTTGTGACTAATATGCGAATAAGTGCCAGTTTACGGCTCTGCAGGTATTCCCTGTATGCTGTTAATACGTACACACAGTTTGCCTCGTTTTAAATACAATGTTTCGGAGCTACGTGAAATGGATGGTGTTTGAGTAGGACTCCGGAAATGGAGAGATGAGTAAGAGGGAGCACATGACGTGGTCGGTAACATGTTTGTGACTGTACTCACCACTAGCCTATGTCATCATAGCCAGCGTCAGACTGTGGAGCACTCTGATGGACGTCCTCTCTGCTTGCATCACATATTGTTTCTAAGAGCTCCTCTCCCTGGCAGTCCCTCGCAGGTTCATTTTCCTCATGAGATTCAACTTCTCGGTCGGACTCGTCAGAATCCGGTGTGACGAGGTGAGCGTAGCGAGTCAGTCTCCCTACCGGTGGTCCCCACACGAACTCATCTTCCGGCCTACAAGTATTGCACACAAAAAAAACGATCACCTGCTTTACAAAAACTGAAAACGTGAAAGGAATTGTGAGTGAGCTGATTGCATGGCCCTACCATGCAACCTAACTCCAACCACACAGATTATTTCAATTAGTCACATTCTTCTGCAAAGGATGGTGGACGAACACTCAACCGTCCGAAAGGAAAAAGGCCACGATCTGACTTGTTGAATATCACAGCATTGGATGGGATGAAAACTATCTCGGTCGAAAGACACAGCGACGAACAGGGACGTGGAGGGAGCACTGCAAGGAGATATCGGTGAAGGAAATGGTCATGTCACACTGGCCCAAAAGGCCAAGGGACGAGAAGAAGAGTAGTCTTCAATGGACTTAGAGGTCACTAAATTACACTATTTCAAAGTTTCTGTTCAATGAAACACTGCCCTTCTCTCTTGTTTATCTCGCTTTAATCTTACTATCCTATCCCTCTTCCATTGGCACATGCAAACCAGGCCAGTGTGGTGCCTTCACGGTATCGGTGGTTTTTCCACTGGCTATTTGCCGAGCCGAGCCAGAACCAAACATCGTCTCCATGTCACCTACGTGCGACTCGACTCGTTCATTGTGTGCGATGTAGGCGGCACGGTTCGGCTTCTACAGTGAAAAATACCCCAACCTGGCACCTCCAAAAAGGCGCCAGGCTGGCTCTGCTTTGAAGAAGGCCCTGCTACGCAAATTGTGTTAATGTGGCTTTCAGAAAACGCACCTCCGATTAGCACGTTTGGCCTATATACGGTGCGAAAGTTCTGCACACCACATACGAACGTGCCTGTACTTGGCCCGTGCATAGAGCAGCAGGCGTCGGCGCTCTCCTCGGTCTCGCACGGTGAACACAAAGTAGTCGAGGGCGCTGCGTCGCATGTGGGTGGCGGCGGCCTGCGGGCACGCGGACGACAGTGCAACGCGCAGCAGCGCTCGCACCAGCGGCGCCTTGTAGTGCTCCAAGCCCAGCTCGCCGAGGCTCTTGAGCACCCGTGTGAGCCGCATGTTGTGGTGTTGCGACGTCTCGTCCCTGCGTGGAAGAGACGTGTCTGCATGCAATCCTCGGCAGGAAAGCGTTCAATCGCTTTCTCGAGAAGCAATTTGATGCATTAGGCACAATTAGACCTGGGATGATTCAATATTTTTGCGTCATCAGATTAGTTGAGTAATCGATGCAATAATCTCTAGAGAATTTGTTTGCTTAAATAACACTGGTCAATACACTTTTTCTGGCATAAGGTATTCCAACGGTTTTAAGGTAATTTTGGGGTGCTGATTCCAGTTTATTACATAAGGTTTTTGAGATATCAAATATTGCATTTTCAATAAAAACTGCAGAAGAAAAATATTAAATCAATGTGGATATCTACATAAAATTATATTATACACACTATCCTAAAAATACAGCACCATATTTTAATACCAAAGCAGTCACTGACTCGCAACAACTTGCAATCATAAGTGACAGAGTTAATTTCGGGTAAAATCAATGAAAATGGGTTATGCCGATAGCATCAAATGAGATGTGATAGAGCAAATCTGAGATCAGATTTGGAATCAGCACCCTGAAATTAGTCTAAAACAGCTGCAAAAGTCCAGGCCAGAATTTTTTTTTGTTGACCAGTGTAATCGGATAGCTCGGTTATAGTCATAAATTGAGGGTGAGAATTTTATTCAAGAATTTATTTTTTATTTGCATTCTGGTTTGATTGTTCGTTTTAGTTCACTTCATTAAAATAAATGTCATGCCATATAATTTGCAGATAATTTACATGAATGTATGACTCATGGCTTCCCCCACGGACAATTTTATGCATGTATCTTGAGCGTAAGAATATTTTTTGATGAATCAGTGCATCATGACTTGCGTAAAGCATGGCAAACGCACATGCATTCACATGCCCGTACACATGAATTAAAGATGACATTAAATGGTGCAATCCTCCTGCAATACTGTTTCTTGCAACATTATCATTGACCAATTTGCACCATTTACCAAGGGCTTCAACACGAGGTAACCTACGTTACATGTTTGTTCGTAACAAGCAAATTTGTTACAAGTAATTTGTACTTTTTAAAACATTGACTGGAACAGCAACGCGATTGCATGACAAGTTCACCGGGCTTAGCATGGCAAGGGTATGTCACGTATGGAGATTTTTAATAAGAAACAAATCTCCCATTACAATAAAAATTCACCTTCATTCTTGCACACGTGAAATATTTATCCAAAATGCTTCATTATATTTTCATAGCCCAAACAAAAACATTCAATAAATTATTTATGATTTTGAGTGCAGTGGACAGAGGAGCAGCAAGGAAGTGGGTGGCAAAAGGGGCAGAGATGGCCGTTTGTACATTAAAGACAATTTTTAAGAAAATATTTTCAGATATGTAAAATTATGAAACTCTTATTAAGCGTTCCTTGATGTGCGTTTCATGTTCGATTTTAAATGTTTGCCTTCTCTGAAATGACGGCACCCGCTGATGCATCCCATCTCACTTGAAGACGTCACGCAGACGCTGGTGGAAGTGATCGGCGCGGCGAATGGTGCCGCGCTCGCGGTCGTCGAGACGCAGCCCGTACGTGTCCAGCATCATCTCGTACGCGCGCACCAGCCGACTCTGCACCGTGGGCGACTCGCGCATCTTCTGTTGCGTGGTGGGGGGTCAGAGGCACTCGTGAGTGAACAAGTATAATACTATATTCTTGCTTCTTTCGTTAAAGTCACGTAGAAGGGAAAGAATAAAATAATAAAAATATTAAACTATTAAAAAAAAGTATAATACTGGTAGGAACATCCTGGTTACACCAGCCCACGGGATTATTCTGTCCTTCCGTCGTGCAGGGAGGGGCTGGGTGGGGAGGGAGGGGCTGGGTGGGGAGGGGAGGGTAGGGAGGGGCTGGGTGGAGAGGGTGGGCTATGCTCAACGTTTAACCTACTCACGCCGGCTTGTGCCCGCCCTCACAGTCGGGCATATTTGCGGAATACACCACGCCGCCGTTGATTCTGGCCATTGACCGAGCAACCCAACGTTCTTACCAGCTCCCTCCGCAGGAATGTGTTTCACTAATACAAATAACTAGATGTGTGGACATCGTTTGCCTGTAAGTGGCCTCTTGTCTTGTCTGCACTTTCTTTTTTTTTTACCGATGCAGACATCGTGCTGCTCGAAGCAGACATCGCGGCTATCGCGATTTTCACCTGAAGACGATGGCTTGTGTTGCGTTCGAAACGCCATGATTTATTTTGTTTTATTTCTACCTACGTGACTTTACCGAATGAAACCAAAGAGTATGGATGCCTGCAGTCACGAAAGCTTCAAATCAAGATTGATGTGTTTTGCTCGGTGCAATGTCGTTTTTGATTGATGGCGCATTTATATATATATATATTTTTATTGGAGATTAAAATGTAGTGTTTCTCGGAAAACGGTGTGTTTTACCACTGGCACTTATGCCCAATCTTGCACTTTTTTGATTCCTTTTTAATTGGCTAAAACTTTTAAAATAGAAATGTTATATTTGAAATTGTTTTGTTTCATTTGTTTTCATTTGCATTATTATTAAAATGTTCTCTGATGTGTTATGTATGTCACAGAAGCAGTGTGTTTTTATTGATGAATCCAGACTTATGTGCTTCTTAGCTCACAGGGTACTTCAAAAAAACCTAAAAAAACTGTAACTAAGTATTTGAAGGGAATTGTTGCGGAAGAGCAGAAGGGAGATAAATAAGGATCAGGATGGTTTGGATATATATCAATCGTGCGGTGTCTATTTCGCACACCTCAGATTAGCACGGTTGGCCACGTACGCTGCAAAAGAAGTTCAACATACATCACCGTGGCTGAGTCGGGGGATTCCAAAGCTCACCGTATTGGATGGGTCGCAGCATTAAACCTGAAGGGCAGTGACCTGCTGTGCCCCATAATATACTTCATTGGGCCCTCTTGGCCATTCACATTGACCCCAATACCATGGCTATTCCTTTATTGCCATTTGTGCTAAGTGTATATATTTTTTTCCAGCCCCAAATGTTATCAAGATTGTGCTATCTGTATCATTTCTTCAGAAGAAGTACCCAGTCAGACCTCTCGCAAAGCAGAGCGACCATTTGTGTTCTAGAACGATCCACGGAAGCAGATATTACAGATCGATCCCCTAACCAGGTCTACACGTAGAGGGCAGCACCCTCTCTGCCATACGAGAGAAATATTCCTTGCATGACATTGATATCTTTAACTCTCAGAGTTAGAACTTAGCCTTATGAAGTGCAGAACCATATTAATCTGATGTTTTTTTGTGTCCACTCATTGGTGATCCAGCTGTGACCTCACCACTTGAGAACATGGTTTAATCACAGACAACTGCCAGGATTTGAACCCAGGATTTCAGTAGTGGTAGCTCAGAATTCTGACCTCCAAACCACTTCTCTAAATGGCATGTAATGTGTATCTTAATGTAATGATTAAATCAGTCGGTCATTTTATGCGGGGTAAGGGTTATTTAGCAAAGAATCATAACATACCTTGATCTCTGGCAAAGTCAGTTCCATAGCGTACCAGTTCAGACCCATTTCACGTAGCGGAAACAGCCTGTGTGACAAACGTAAGTGAAAATTCATTTCCAGTTGTTAAGAAATGCATTGTTATCCATTAATAGATGTCCCAATAACAATTGTGAGAAATTGCATAAAACATTCAAAGCCTCTAAACTTCTCCCACTAATCTTAATGCACTTTACAATATTCTATGGATTACAATAAGCATTTTCCCCTCTTTTTAAAGCAACAGATGAGATGCATCTGACGGTCCGGAGCTTCTTACAATATGGAGACTACGGTATGAAATCTTTTAATGCCCTCTGTAAAATATGGAGCCATCTTTTTCACAATATTTAATCACCGTTTGATAGGAAATTAAGCTAATTAGAAATCAATGGGTTATCTATAAATGGCTTGTTTATGTGTGTAAAAAAACGACAGTTGAATGGATATATGTGGACAGATTTGTAAATAACCTAAGACATTACTGTTATTAATCTTTATTTTGCAAGAGAAGCATGCGATACACTTGAATTATTGTAATGTAAATGTTCAGTGCTTTCTTGTGGACATTGTAGCCTGTTGTGTACCATTGAATGTAGCTGTGGTTCTGATCCAGGATGGAATAGTTTCCCTTCCACTTGAGGACATCCTCTATTAACACACCTGCACGATGGACATTCGCAACATCGTAATCACTAGCAATCAATGTTACATGGCAGAAAATCGTTTATGCATTTTCCCCCACCCATCGCTTTTGTCAAAATACTCACCGTTTGGTTCGAAGCAGATCCGATTCTGGTAGAACTTCAGGTTTGGCATGTCACTCCTGTGCTCTTTCTTGTTCTAAAAACAGCAAACGAGCTACTACTACATAGTAATCCTTTTTTTTGTCATTGCATCGTTAAAACAAAATTACTACCACACATCAAGGAAGCAGCATCATCATATTCTTAGGTTTTTTCGGTAAAGTCACGTAGGTAAAAACATTAAAAAATAAAATAAAATAAAAATAAAAATCACGACGTTTCGGAGGCAACACAAGCTTCCGTCTTCAGGTGGTACCGTCACAGCCACGACAGCTGTATCAAGCTTGACGGAAGCTTGTGTTGCCTCCGAAACGTCCGAAACGTCGTGATTTTTATTTTTATTTTATTTTACTTTTTAATGTTTTTACCTACGTGACTTTACCGAAAAAAACTAAGAATATGAATCATTGCAGTCACGAAAGCTTCAAATCCAGCATCATCAATTAAAGCAAGCCTTGGGGCTGAGCAAAGAAAATGATTGACGTACCGGGTAGCCGTGTCTGTACTGATGCATGTCGCGGGCAGCGTAGAGGCTTCGTTTGGGTCGTGTGGAGAGGACGGAAACAGCGAAAGTAGCAGCAGGGGAAGCATTAGTGGCAGTATTGTCATCAGCCACCGCTCTTGCCAGCCTGGTCCCCGCCGAATCTCCTTCACCTCTCACCCCGCTCTTCTCATCCCCTGGTTGGGACTCAGTCTCGGACTCGCTTTCCCAGGTTGTATCATAGTCAGTGATGGTGAGAGTCCTCGACTGGCCGTTCCTGCCGTCCGATGGTGAATTCCCCATTTGCACAATGTCAGTGGTTGTTACCTGCACCGTCAGATGATCTGAAGCTGTGAACACCAGATAGGAAGCCCTTGCATTGTAGCAAGGGGGGATGAACAGAGGTTTGGGCAGTAACCAACTAAACTCGTCTACCGCAATACTAAGCAAATAGCCAGCCACTAGTTACTGTCCTATCACTAACACAACCAACCAAACTCTAATCATCCCCCAACACAAAGCAACTAGCCATTAGTTATAGCCCAATCATTAATACTCGTGAACGAGCCTTGCCTCTAGCACTAGCAAAGTGTAGTCAACCGGCCACTATTGCTGGCTCTACCCCTCACCACCTAGTCAACCTGCCACAAATAGTCGTCCTCTCTCAAACAGTAAGCAAAAGGTTAACCAGCCAGCCACCAGTCGTGGCCTTACCTTTCTACTCGTCACCTCGACAAGATTTCGCCAGGGCCGCCTTTTTATTTTTCGTTTGCTTTTCCGTTTTGGTGTTCAACGGCACATTGCCCAAAACATGGATTCTCTCCTGGATCAAAGAGGTTCGAAACTCTTAAGTTACGTGATATTCACTTTCTCTCTTGCCCTCTCGCCGGCTACCAACTAGTCTGCACAACAGAATGTCAACAAGCCGTTGAAGAGAACACTATCTGTGCCTCTGTGTCACAGCGCGCTGCATGCTTTCACCGATGGCATTTGAAAAATGTAGCCTTTCTTTTTTAAAACATCTGCGCGTCCGCTTTTTCCGCCGGCTTCAAGGGAGGCTCCGTTTGGACTAGAGAGGAAGTGGGCGGGTTGTGGGTAATTTTACATTATTTTTTTAGTGGGTGTATTTGTGGCTGCGGTTGGAATTTCCCCCCGTCGCTGTGGTGACTCTAAGCTGGGTTTTCCCGTGCTGGGGCAGAACAACAGTTCTCGTTAATGATTAACGGAGGGCAAAGTTTGTTTACCGGCTCAGGCCAAGTTGTTCTGCGTCGATGCAGCCTCATTGGGGGGCCCTCAGATTGATTTTTTTTCGATGTATAAACTTCGAGTCCAATGCCGAGCTTTTGATGTCTCGGCTCAAGAAGTGGAACTTGTTGGATGAAAGTGTGCAAGTCGCAGATCAGAGAAAGCGTCACCAACCTTTTGGCAGCTTCTTCACCCGTCAAGATGGGCTCTGCTTCTGCCACAATGTGACCAGTCTGTTAAAGGCAAAAATTGTGTGACATAGTGTTCTCATCATCGTCATCAGCCATGACCTATCCACTAATGTACGAAGGCATGCCCGCTCCCTCGCCACCCTCCACGTGGCCCAGTGCTGCGACCATCCATATCACTCGTGCACGTGAACTGATCTCAGGGCTCCGTCTATGCGGTGGCCGTCCTCTTGAACGAGTTACTGGGGACTTGCTCTTTTGAAAAGCGGGCAAATTTATTTATCCAAGGGGGTTGCCCAAAACGTGGAGGCCCAAGCCAGAGCAAAACGAACGACTCTGCTTACAAATATGTAAATGAGGTTTGCCCTTGACAGCTACCTATCAGCTGTCATACTGCTAATTAAATACTGCTTAGGACAAACGCTTGTTGGAAAGCGTTGCATACGCCATGCCTAATGCATGGTTTTTCTCCTAACTTGTTTCTGCACGAGTGTACTGCCCTCTGGCAAATTCATTGCCCAGCCTCCAGCTCCCTCGATCCCACCCCTTTCATCTCACGACACTCCACTCGGGTTCTTTTTAAATCCTTTATATTAAGTTCACTTGCTTGCTTGCTTGCGCGCTTACGACCGTGCAAATCTTTCGGTCGTTTTTTAACCCACTTCCCGTGATCCAATCGGGCTGACATTTTGCACACAGACTCGTTGTACGTGACAATTTATTTTCGTGAAATAAATTCCCAAATTTTACACTTTTTAGGAAAACTTTTTTTAATATTTAATTACCAATTGCTTAATGGTGGCAGGCAATCATCTGACCCATAGGTGGCAGCCATCTCAAGCCAGAAGACGAGAGGACTCTAGCCGCCACGCATATAAAGGATTTATAGTGAAAAACTTTGTTTTTACGGGTTAATTTTTTTTATTATTATTTAAACGCTTTTATTTAACTCACTCCGTCTATTTATAAATGTGTCGTAACCCTCCACCACCCGACACGGCCAATCAGTAAAAAATGTGTCACGTTGACAAAGACAAATAGTTCACTGCTTTAGCCCACCGGTGTGTTGAAGCAACAACATTCACAATTTGAGTACGACGTTTCGCTGGTAATTACAACCAGCATCATCGGGCAATTCGCCAGAATGGTGAGGCTCTCCTGTGTCTCCCGTTCTTATATAGAGCAGCAGCAGGATGACGTCATCATTAACTCATTAACTCATCAGGTGCAAAGATTCAAGGGGGGAGTGATTGTAATTATATACTAGATTAGTAATCAGGCTATTGTTACGATGCGAGTTGTAGATTAGTAATCATTTGGAATGTGTTTTATTGTGATTATGCTACATTAGTAATCTGTTAGTGGTTGTTTCCCTTATAAGTAATTGTAATGTATCTTATTTAATAATACGCTTCCAGGCCGCACTAAGCCTGTAGTTGTCTGAGCGATTAAAGTTATTTCTGTTTCTCTCAATTTCAATCGATTCTCTAATTAGTCTTTGCCAGTAGTAACTAGTTTTACACAACACTTCCACGTTGTCAAAATCAATTGAGTGTCCCTGTTGGCATGCATGTTCTGCTACTGCCGACAGTTGTGTTTGTGATAGTTTAATATTTCTCTGGTGTTCTTTAAGTCTTACACTAACGTTACGCCCTGTCTGTCCAATATAGCATCTGCCACATACACAATTAATCCGATATACACCTTCTGTTGATAATTTAGGTAATTCGTCTTTAGTGCACGTTACTAGTTGTTGAATTTTGTGTACTGTACCAAATCTTACTGTAATGTTTTGCTTTTGCAAAACACGGGCTAATTTATCAGTTACTCCTGAGATAAATGGTATTTTTATTGTTTTAATAATCTGATCGCTTTCAGCAGTGTTGCTTTGCGATCGTGATTTGGCTTTTAGTGCTCTGTTAATTTGAGCATTATTGTAGCCATTCTGTCTTAGTGCTTCTTTAACATGTTTAATCTCTCTCACTAGACTTTCACCATCTGACACTGTTTTAGCCCGATGTATGAGCGTCTTGATAAGAGAGGATTTCTGAGCTGGGTGATGATGCGAATCTGCATTCAGATAGGCATCAGTGTGCGTTGGCTTTCTGTAAACGCTGTGTGTTATTTTACCGTTTGGGCCATGCCCAAGTACAATATCCAGGAACGGGAGTGTGTTATTCACCTCCATTTCCATGGTGAACTGAATGGCCGGGTTTTGTGCATTGAGATGATTTAGAAAATCGTTAAGTGTATCTTTACCATGTGGCCAGACAACCAAAGTGTCATCCACATATCTAAACCAAAAGGATGGTTTTAATGTGCTCGAGGCAAGTGCTCTGGTTTCAAAGTTTTCCATGTACAAATTTGCTATAGCAGGAGATAAAGGAGAGCCCATTGCTGCTCCCTCCCTTTGTTTAAAGAATTCGCCTCTCCATAAGAAGTAAGTGTTATTTAAACAATGGTCTGCGAGTTTCGGAATATCTTTTGGTAAACCTGTATTCTTTACCAGTGTATCAAGTAATTTAAGTGACTCGCTCACTGGAACCTTAGTGAATAGCGAAATCACATCAAAACTCACCAAAATATCATTAGGGTTAAGTTTAATATCTTTGATCATATTCACAAGATGTTCTGAATTTCTTATGAATGATGATGTCCTACCGATGTAAGGCTGAATTTGTTTAGTTACATATTTTGCTAATTTATAGGTGGCAGAGCCAATTGTACTGACTATAGGTCGTAAAGGGATGCCGACTTTATGGATCTTTGGTAGCCCATACAGTCTAGGTGGTTTTGAAGCCCTTGGCTTCATTAGGAATTGCTCATTTTTTGGGATTAATGAATTTGCAATGATTGCAGTAGTCTTACGTTCCAAAGTATTAGTTGGATCTCGTTTAATTTTAATGTAGGTACTTTCCTCTAATAAATCTTTAATTTTATTATCATAATCGGCTCGTGACATCACTACTGTAGTGCGGCCCTTGTCAGCTGCTAGGATTTGAATATCTTTGTTTAGACGAAGCTCTCTTAAGGCTTTTGCCTCGTTCGAGCTAATATTTACTTTAGGTACTTTACTATTCTCAATAATTTTGGCAACCTCGTGTCTAGTCATCTCTGCCTCATTATGTGGAAGGAGTCTTACTGCTGATTCTACCTCAGCAATTATCTCATCCACTGGAATTGTGCGTGGGGTAACGGCAAAGTTAAGGCCTTTAGAAAGGACAGAAATCATGTCAGTGGTTAAATCAGTGTTAGTCAAGTTCAACTGACTAACCTCTATGGGGAGGATACTTTTCTTAAAACCAGAAAATTGGAGAAGCTCCGCATTAAGCGGATGAAATTGATATCTTCATTGGCGTTCCTCAAAAGGTGCAGAGATTCGAAGGTAATACCAAACGCAGTTAAAATAACACATCACATAAAGTCTTCTAAGGCTAACAAAATACTACACAAAGCTAGCGAATTATTATTAATAGAGAGAATACAACACAACAGGAGTGAATTATCCAACATTTCTGAATCGCTAAAGCATTTACATTTAAATATAAGCAATAGTGTGTCCATGCATGATTGGAATATAATCGATACTATAACACAACAATCGGCTGATAATGTGTTTAATCTAACAAATGCTAACCAAATTAACAAATTTTCTAGACTTTACAATAAACAAATCCCTATTAAAACGAACAATTTGAAAACAAAACCGTAATGAACTTGACTAACACTGATTTAACCACTGACATGATTTCTGTCCTTTCTAAAGGCCTTAACTTTGCCGTTACCCCACGCACAATTCCAGTGGATGAGATAATTGCTGAGGTAGAATCAGCAGTAAGACTCCTTCCACATAATGAGGCAGAGATGACTAGACACGAGGTTGCCAAAATTATTGAGAATAGTAAAGTACCTAAAGTAAATATTAGCTCGAACGAGGCAAAAGCCTTAAGAGAGCTTCGTCTAAACAAAGATATTCAAATCCTAGCAGCTGACAAGGGCCGCACTACAGTAGTGATGTCACGAGCCGATTATGATAATAAAATTAAAGATTTATTAGAGGAAAGTACCTACATTAAAATTAAACGAGATCCAACTAATACTTTGGAACGTAAGACTACTGCAATCATTGCAAATTCATTAATCCCAAAAAATGAGCAATTCCTAATGAAGCCAAGGGCTTCAAAACCACCTAGACTGTATGGGCTACCAAAGATCCATAAAGTCGGCATCCCTTTACGACCTATAGTCAGTACAATTGGCTCTGCCACCTATAAATTAGCAAAATATGTAACTAAACAAATTCAGCCTTACATCGGTAGGACATCATCATTCATAAGAAATTCAGAACATCTTGTGAATATGATCAAAGATATTAAACTTAACCCTAATGATATTTTGGTGAGTTTTGATGTGATTTCGCTATTCACTAAGGTTCCAGTGAGCGAGTCACTTAAATTACTTGATACACTGGTAAAGAATACAGGTTTACCAAAAGATATTCCGAAACTCGCAGACCATTGTTTAAATAACACTTACTTCTTATGGAGAGGCGAATTCTTTAAACAAAGGGAGGGAGCAGCAATGGGCTCTCCTTTATCTCCTGCTATAGCAAATTTGTACATGGA